ATGCCACATTGGGTGACTAGTAATAGTAGCACAAATGTAATTAGAAACTGTATATTAATTGCTCTGTAAAAAGGTGTTAATCATGACTAATAAAGTTTTTACATTTGGCAATATAAAAAAAAAAAAAAAAAAAAGTAATTTATTATTACCATTATAGAACTTATATGTACTTATTGCAATTATAAGTTACTGCAAAAATTCTGTAACAAACTTACCCGTTACTCAATGACCTTGATGATTAATATTGAAATATTTGCATTAAAATTATCATAGTTTATATTATGTTTTGCAATAAAGAATTCTGTGCAGAATTTGCTTTCTAATGCATTATATACAAAGTTAGTATAAAAAAGTTTAATTTTTATAGAAATTGAATAGTTGTATTAGAATTATTATTATTTCTATTATAATTTGCCTTAATAAATATCTAATAAATTATAAACATCTGAATATCTAATTTTTTTTTATATAGTTATTTTTATATAGAACAGAATTCTTTGAATCTACATAATTTTTGCTATTTAATTTATTTCTAGAAATATTTACACCTGCTATTTCAAGAATTACTAGCATAATATTTAAAAAAATCACTTTATTTATTAAAGAATAAAGTTAGTATTTACTAATTTTTTATAATCACATACCTAATTTATTTATCAAATATATTTAAATATTCAAATTTTAAGTACAAAATATATAATTTAAAAAATTATATTGCAATAATTGTAGCATTAAAAATGTTATAAACTAAAATATTATTCTAGCGATAGAAACAAATCAAAATAAACTCTATTATATTTTAAAAATAAAACCTTATTCACTAAATTAGATGACAAATGAGTTCGTTTTGATGAAATATGATTACCAGCATCAGAAAATAATCTTTTACTTGGCACTGAAGTTGCTAAAATAGAAAGTTATTTTCATGCTAGCTGAGATAAAATGAGCAAATTACTTTTCTTTTGTAACCACTATTCTAAAGGGTCTTTATTAAGTTTAATTTCTTTCATCTTTATGTAGTTTATGATTTCATTCTTTCCTATATCAGTTTGTAAAAAATTTGCCTCCAACTTATGAAAAAAATATTATTATTGTCATCATTATCATCATTGTGATCTCTTTCCTCAATATTATCTAGAACAGCAAAATTTATTTTTAATTCTTCATACAAGACTTCTACCAGATTCTGTGCTTTGTTTCGTTTAGTAGATATTGTCTAATTAAAATGCTTAAATCTAGAATCAAGAAATGTAGCAACTAGAGCAATATCTGATAGAGAATCTCATAATTTATTCATTGACAAATAAATGGCAGCACAAACTTTTTTAAGCATGCTAGTAGTGTTAACTATTGGCAAATACTCTACTCTATCTATATTTTCTAACTCAATATTATTGGATTGTATATGTGTTTTTCTTTTTTGTTCTCAATCATGAACAACTATTTTTTAACGAAATTGTCTGTGTGCAAATTGCCAATGTTTACAGGTACTAGCAGCAGGAATATTATCATCACTTGTTTCATCACTTTTATATTTATCACTTTCGTTATTAGTATTTTCACTATAAATAAGATCTAAATAGGTATCTACCATCAAACCTATCTTTGGTGCAAACTCTTTCTTAAGTAACTTCATATAAGAATGAACAAGATTAATAGTTGGGTATTTAGCACCACATAAACATCAAGTTACTCTTTTAATTGGTTTTAGTAAGTTTACCATATCTTGCAAAAATCTAATTACAGTAATAAAATAAAAAGTTATACATATAAATCTCTAATTTTAAATATTATACTTTAACAAATAAGGCTTATTTGCTATTTAAGAATTGAAAATTAATATAAAATTTAATTTAAAGAGAATTTGAAATTCGAAGATAATAAAAATTTTACAAAAAAATAGTTTACTATATAATAAAATAGGTCCATATTGTTTCACCAACAATCACTTCATAGACATCACATTTCACAGACAATTATTCATCAACAAGTTCATTTTATCAACAGTTTATTTCACCAAAGCTCATTTCAATGACATATATTTTTTAAAAATTACATTAACTTTAACTCTAGTTCTAATCTAACTCTAATGATATTGACTAGAATTACTTTGTCTGTAAGATGAGCTTTAGTGAAATAAACTGTTGATGAATTGAATTTGTCAGTAAGTAATTGTTAGTAAAATGTGATATTTATGAAGTGATTGTTGGCAAGTTGATGGGATCTCTAATAAAATTTAATTATAATAAGTAATAATTTGAAATTTACTCTTTTCATCAACTGATAAACATAGTCTGTCAAGCTTTTCTCCTTCTTTTTTTGAAGTACAATTTGACTTGGCAAGTAATGAAGTTGAAACAAATCTTATTGCATTATGCAATTTCAAAACACATTTCCAAGCCAAATAGGTGGCATTCTATCTAGTTTATATTTTTGATAAAACATCAAGAGGATTTTTAATAATATCTGGATTTCTTTTACTTAAATTAAATTTACACTGTGCCTCTCATAAACATTGTGCCTGTTTAGGCAATCTAAAAAAGGCTTGTAAGCTTTTAACACAACAATGAATAGCTTTACATTGCTTTAGTTCTTCTTTAACTAACAATTGTAGAGTATGCGCAGCATATAGTTGGTGTACAATATTGCTAAAATAGTTTTCATATAATAAATTAATTCCTTTAACCATGTTTGAGCCATTATCTGTAGCTATAATAAAAACTGTTGGCTCAAGACACTATTTACAAATTATTCAAAACAATTCTTTACTGATTACTTCTCTAGTATGTAGGTGCGCAAGATGGTTACAAGAGAGTAAAGCTTCTCAAAACTTAAAATCTGAGGACAACCAAGTTGCTATAATACCTAAATATCTATAGCGAGACTTGGCTACCCATAGATTAGTAGACAAATAAATAGCTATTGCACTACTACTAAGTAGAGATTTTAATTGATTTTGACTCCAGTTATATGCTTCATGATTTAATCACTTGGCAGTTTTATTACTTGAAATTCAAAATCCAGGTACACAAGTATACATTGACTCATGAAATGATTTATCTTGTAAAATATAGAGAGGCTCAACAAACCAAATAATAAATTGAATCAATTTTCTTGCGATTAGTTGTTGCATATGTGGTGAACATGGTGGTACTATATTATTAAAATATTCAGTAACTTTAGCTTGATTATATTTAGGCTAGTAAGTAAAATAAATTAATTTCTTCTATTTTAACAGTAATGAATTACAATAATTTAATTTAATAACTTATACCTCATTATACTCATCTAAGTAATCAGTATAATTGTCTTTAATTATATTGTGTTTGTCACATAAATAGGCTATCAGATTGGATGTGTTACCCCCTTTATGGCTATAGGGATAGGGATTTTGTTGAGCTCCAGTAAGGTTATGTTCACATATTTTGCAGTATACAAACTCAGAGTTGTTTTTATCTATATGAAAAAAAAGAAGTATGACTTTGATTACTACGGCTAATTCCGGCATTGGCTTTTCTTTTTTTTTTGGCTCATAGTTAATATAGTTAATGCAGTTGATGGTGTTGTATTAGATTCTTCAGTATCTGAGAAAAGAGGTAAGGACATTTTTTGTTTAAAGTTTTTTTTCAATTAATGAAATATAAATTCATTGTGAACTTTTTTTTCAACTAGCGAAACTAGTGAAATTGAATTTAAATTTATGCTAAATCATCATTATATATAGTAAATATTAGGGCTCATTAGCATTAGAATTATACAATCAGATTATGTGACCTTATAATATGGAAATTATTTATCAATAATGTATCAAGAAAATTCTTAAGCTTGAGAAGTTTTTTTATATGAAAGATTGATGTTATCTATTTTCCTATTACAGATATCTAGATTCTTTGTAATTTGCTAATATCTGGATCACATCTCTATTTACACTATCTTATCATTATACAAATCTGGGCTTTTCAATTCAAAAATTTTAGATTCTGATAAGAATAAAATATGTATTATAGAAGAAAACATGGTCCACAGTGTTCATTTTTATTAATAAGTTATAGTACTTTATTGAAAAACTAAATTTATAAATATATCATTTTACAAATAATTTTAACAAAAAAATGGATATAATACTTGTTGTATAAGTATGAAATAGTACTCACTGGCGTCATTTGACATTGAATTTCCATTAAAATAGCATATATGTTCTAGCAACTTGAATTTTTGTTTGTATTGCAAATTATGTATATATATATATAATAACATACGTAATACTATATCATTAATATAAAAATTAAAAAACTTCAATTACTTAATATAGAAAACAATAGAATATAGAATAATGACAACCAACTCATTGAGAATATACTATTAAAGTCAGTTTATGGCAATAGCTGTTTTCAAAAAGGTATGAATAATAATAGATCATTATTACAGGTTTTTAAAAGCCACTTTTATTAAATTTTAATTTTCACTAATGTAGAGATTGTAAATATAAATGTTATGATTATTATTTTATTATAATAAAAATAATGTAGAATTATAATCATAACATGTACTAGCGAAATGATCTGGCATTATATTGCATACCGGGTAAAGTGTAATATCGATGTTTCCATATGTTATATTAATATGCATAATTCAAGTAATACTAATCTAATCAGGTTTTGTTAGCAAATGTGAGAAAAACTTTAAAATATGGCAATAAAGAATATTCTTATTTTATAGCTAGGCAATTCAGCACTTCTAATACATTGCGAACTAATTAAAATTAACAAATATTTTCAAATAAGGTATTATAGTTGTTTTATTGCTAAAAGTGAAATTCAGCATGAATATTTATCTGCCAGGTATACTTTTTTTAAAAAACATCACTATTTTACTATTGGCTTATTAACAAGTTTTTACTCTATAATTAAAGTCAATTAGTAATATGTGGCTAATCAATTTATAGAATCAACAATGCCAATGCTGATTATAAATATCAATTCTTAATATTTATCCAACCATGTTACAGAAGATATACCATAAATCCAGACACAAGTATTACTCAATTTTTTATTCGAGTATCTTAATAGAGAGATATACTATATTGAAACTATATGTTTATTGCATCTGGTATCTATAATGCAATTGCTGTTGTTTTTGATTTAGTTAGATCTACGATCTGCATAATTTTTTTTTTGTCTTATAAAATTAGCGATTAAATATGTATAGAACATATTTGTGGAAAAAAATCCAGTTGATGGTTTTTTAAAAAAATTTGCTAATTTACTATAAAATTATTGATCATATTAATTAAAGGCTATAATAGAAGGTTCTATTGATGACATATTTACAGTAACTGTTATTGATTGATTTTTTATTGCTACAAAATATTAGAGTACATAAAAAATAATGAAAAATATACTTAATTCACTAATTACACATTCTATCGATTCTTTCTATACATAATTTAATTATTATTATTATTTTTTTTTAATTCGGCAGTCATGCTTTAACTTTATTAGGCTTTGTACGAATCCTCTAGACTCGTAAAATTTTACAC